GCCCTGAAATTGTATGTCTCTCACGAAACAATACGTAAACATCTAAGGAGTGTGGGAAAACTCCATAAAGAAGGTGTTTGGGTGCCTCACGACTCTCCGATGATCATCGTTTCCAACTCTTCTGGCGTGTAATGCGCGTGAACCATTTTTGGACAGAATTGTAACCTGTGATGAAAAATACACTCTCTATGCGAATATTAAATGCCAAAAACAATGGCTCAGTCCTAGACAAAAACCAATTCCAACCCCAAAACCTGGACTCCATCTGCAGAAAGTGATGCTTTGCATTTGGTGGGACATCAAAGGAGTAATTCATTTTGAACTCCTCAATCCACAGCGAACTGTCAATGCAGAGATCTATAGTCAGCAACTGGAACGTTTAAATCAAGCTCTTCATCAGAAACGCCCTTCACTCGTCAATCGGAAAGGTGTTCTTCTCCACGACAATGCACTTCCACATGTGGCACATTTGACGCAACATAAGATTATGGAGCTGGGTTGGGAAGTTATCCCCCACCCACCATATTCTCTAGATATGGCACCATCAAATTATCATCTTTTTCGTATTTTGCAACACCATCTTAATGGGAAAACGTATGCAAATGTGGAAGGTGTTAAAGAGGACATCGACGTGTTTTTTGCTTCAAAGCCAAGTGATTATTTTAATCAGTGCATTAACAACCTGATTGTAAGATGGAAAAGCATCATCGATAAGAATGGAGACTATTTCATTTAATAAATGTTTCGTTTTGATATATAACTTTTTCGGTTTTTTTTCATCTATAAAAAGCGTCATTAATTTCTTGACGAACTAATATTAACAATACCTATTTACTTTTACAATTAACTTTTTTTTTCACGCATCCGTCATTCGCTTATCGTCATCAAATTTTTTAATCGTTTAATTATTTCTTGTAAATGAATAAAATACAATATACATACTGTTTTAACCTATATATTTAACCTATAATTTAAATTTTTGTTAGAGAGGCTGCATTGTTTATTAATACAAGTAAGCAGTTAGTGATGGATAGTGAGTAATGAACTGAGACGAGAAACGGTAACCAGTGACAGTAGTGAGAGTTATCGCGTCTATTCAGTAACTCGATCAATTCGCCGTGGAATTATGTAAGTTTATTTGTGAGTTAAGCATATGATCATCGAGAAATCTTCTGTTGATATGTTGTGTTTGAACTTAGGCCTGCAATTTGTGTGAAAGTGAACGTAGCCTGTAAAACGTTATAGAAGAAATAAACCAATTTGTCATCGTTACGTGGACTAGACTTGATATTATTTTCACCCAATAATCCCCCCCCTCCCAACAATAGAAAACGTTACAATAATATAGACATGAGCTTTTATTCATTGTTGTTTCTTTTTGTTTATAACCTGGACTTTTTTGTGTTGTTAAATCACTTACATGTGTATTGTAGTTATAGTTAAATTTTCCTTAGACACAATTTATTCTACAGCACAAAAACCAGTAATTTACAAATACCTTTATAACTACATACAATTTGACTATATTTGACACGAGGAAGATTGCTTATTTGTCTGTTCACCTCAGCAATCGATACATAAAGCATATAATGTGCTGAACACCAATGGTTTGAGCATAGATATCTTATTATACTCATATTATACTCACGTTAATATGATCGTTAATATGTTTTTCATCCCGATCCAGCAAGTTAAGCCCAATTGTCAGATTTCGGCCATAGGACATATTTCTTTTGTGAGATTTTCTAGTCTTCTCCTTATTTTTCTTCTTGTTCTTTTTCTCAGTCTCTTCCTCGGTCGCTACATTGCCTTTATCTTCACTGTTTTCTTCATCTTTCTCTCCCTCAACCTTTCCCTTGACTGTATCTTCTTTTTCATCATGGGACTCCATTTCCATCTTCTCCTTATCAGAAGTCGCTTCTTTTACTCCTTCTACTTGTTGATCGTCAAGAAGAGGAAGTGTGGATTCGTTGAGATGAGTCTTGGAATCGGACTGAGAGCTTTCCTTCTTTGTCTCCATGGTTACTAAATAATGTAAAATACGGAACTACTGAAATACTGAATATTTTAAGTATATATGTGCGTGCTTAGTCTCAATTTCTGTAGTCACTACATAATGATGATGTAATCTCGGTTTCTATGGTTACTAAATAATATAAAATACCGAACTACTGAAATATTGAATATTATATGTGTATATGTGTGTGTGTGTGTCTTTGGTTTCAATTTCCGTAGTCACTACATAACGATGATGTAATCTCGGTTTCCGTGGTTATTAAATGATATAAAATATTGAACTGAAACTCGTTATATATATGTTTCAATAATCAATATACAATGATCTGGTAATATTAGTTTTTGATGGTTACAAGATAACATAAAATATAAGTTTGAAAACTTAACTGCTATTGTCTGATCGAATAATTGGATTTGACCGTCTCTCTTACAGCGCACCCCAAAATTTTGGATCGTGCTTTTGTAGCAACGGGCCGCGAGCCATAAATCCTCAGATTCACAATCCTTGCACGCTAACCACTAGGTTGCACCCAACCCGCGAAATTACGAAACAAGCAAACAACAATCGTCGAGTCCAACTAACACAATAACTCTAACTTTATGGCAATTCAACACATATGATGCATGTCTAAATAATGCGTGTAACAATACTGAGGTAAAATACAATGCTTGTACCAGCACAAGGCACAATGCAATGTAAACAATGCGTGTAACAACACAAGACACACTGCAATGTAAACAAAACTATGGTAAAATACAATGTAAACAATGCGTGTAACAACACAAGACACACTGCAATGTAAACAAAACTATGGTAAAATACAATGTAAACAATGCGTGTAACAACACAAGACACACCGCAATGCAAACAAAACTATGGTAAAATACAATGTAAACAATGCGTGGTAACAACACAAGACACACCGCAATGCAAACAAACTATGGTAAAATACAATGTAAACAATGCGTGTAACAACACAAGACACACCGCAATGTAAACAAAACTATGGTAAAATACAATGTAAACAATGCGTGTAACAACACAAGACACACCGCAATGTAAACAAAACTATGGTAAAATACAATGTAAACAATGCGTGTAACAACACAAGACACACCGCAATGCAAACAAACTATGGTAAAATACAATGTAAACAATGTATATAACAAACTATGGTGAAATACAATGTAAACAATGCGTGTAACAACACAAGACACAATGCAATGTAAACAAAGTATATAACAAAACTATGGTAAAATACAATGTATGCGTGTAACAGAACTATGGTGAAATACAATGTAAACAATGTATGTAACAAAACTATGAAATACAATGTAAACAATGCGTGTAACAGCACAAGGCAGGATACAGTTAAGATACTTTGATTGATTTTCTCAGTGCCTGTTCTCAGCATAATGATATAACACTACCTGTTTTCACTAGCTTAAAGAGATGACCTAATTAGTATTCTTGAAATAATTTTAACTCGTTAATTATCATCCAAGTAGAGATAACCCTAATTGCTCAACAACCAGCGTGGGTTATATAAACTAGAATTTCGCTGTTACACCTATTTCTTATAGCATCCGGTTGAACAAGGCCATTATTGTTTTTAAAAAATGGCTAGGGTGTGAGACTGGACAAGTATGTACGTCTGTTTTGTATTGGTCGGTTTTACTTGTCATACCACTCTAAACTTCTGTTGCTTAGAGACGGGAATGTTACGTCTTGTAAACTGCGCCCCTTTCACTTTATTGTGTAGCCTGGTGGGTTTAATACCACAAGGGTAATACACAATTAAAATTATAGAACGTGAAGGTGTAACCTTGGATACAAAGAGGTATGCGGATTACTGATTAAAAAACTACTACATTTTTATCTTTATTTTTTACAATATATGAAACTGCAATTGGAAAAGCTATTATGTTATCTGTACTTAATACAACGTCAATACTATTATGTTATCTGTACTTAATACAACGTCAAGACTATTATGTTATCTGTACTTAATACAACGTCAAAGCTATTATGTTATCTGTACTTAATACAACGTCAAGACTATTATGTTATCTGTACTTAATACAACGTCAAGACTGTTATATTATCTGTACTTAATACAACGTCAAGAATATTGTGTTATCTGTACTTAATACAACGTCAAAGCTATTATGTTATCTGTACTTAATACAGCGTCAAAGCTATTATGTTATCTGTACTTAATACAACGTCAAAGCTATTATGTTATCTGTACTTAATACAACGTCAAAGCTATTATGTTATTTGTACTTAATACAACGTCAAAGCTATTATGTTATTTGTACTTAATACAACGTCAAAGCTATTATGTTATCTGTACTTAATACAACGTCAAAGTTATTATGTTATCTGTACTTAATACAACGTCAAAGCTATTATGTTATTTGTACTTAATACAACGTCAAAGCTATTATGTTATTTGTACTTAATACAACGTCAAAGCTATTATGTTATCTGTACTTAATACAACGTCAAAGTTAT